GGGGGGCGGTGGAGGAAGGGGAGGAGGGAGGAAGAGGAGTGTGTGTGTGTATGTGTGTGTGTGTGCGCGCGCGCGCGCGCGAGCGAGGAAAGAGGGAGAGAGAGAGAATGAAGAGGACAGGGAGAGCGCAGAGAGGAAAACTGCAGAAAACCACAGGGAAAGTACGGTACAGCCTCAGATCTTTTAATTTTTTAAAAAAAATAAAACTTACTTCTAGTTCATTTTCCCATCACTCCGGGCTCATGCCTAATGGGGTCGTGTCGGGGACGTTTGTCATGGCGCTCTCGCTTTTGTTCCTTTTAACTCCGCGGGCCCCACTCCTCTGCCAGCCGATTACCGCGCACGAAGGCTTTCCGCTAACATCCAGGGGCAGCAGGCGCTGCAGACGGTACCACCGCCGGGCTAGAGTTTTTTTTTAAGTGGTACTTTCTTCCCTGTACAGATCCAGGACCCTTGATGTCAACATTCATTTTTTCCAGGACAAGAAGAGACCAGCTTAACTCAGAGAGCACTCCCTCCAAGCCGTGCGGACAAGGGCCACCCTGGAGAGTCTTTGGGACCGCGGCGGAATAGGGAGGGAGGAAGTGAGGAGGCAGTCGTTTGGGTGTTTGATGTTGTCTAGTGTCGCCAGGGGTATGTGTGTGTGTGTGTGTGTGTGTGTGTGTATGTGTATGCGCGCGCGCGCGACTGGTGTGCGCCTCCGAAGTGGATCTCACTTGGAGCTGGGAAGCACGGGAGGGAAAGACAGGGAGAGAGAGAGAGGGAGAGGGAAGATGCCAGGCGAGGAGGGTCGGCCCGCACTCCCTGCCCAGCTTTGTTGTGGTCGCCGGGAGCGCAGAGGCCGGGGCATGGTTATGCCGCCTAATTGCTGTGTTAATTATACCGGGCAATTTCGCGGGATCGAGAAGATGGGTCCGACTCCGAGTGAACTTTTCCAAAAAGGAAAAGGAGGAGAGGGGGGGGAAGCAAGGCAACTATCTCACACCGTTTGCGTAGAAAGTAGTTCTGGCCGGTATCTCGCCCAATCCCTGGCCGGAGCTGTACCCAGCCTCACCTCGGCGCCGCGGGTTTCCAGGCGGCCGCGCGTCAATCACTAGGAGCCCGGAGCTGGGGGCGGAGCTATGGTCACCCAGCGCGCGCAGTGCCGCAGCCCCCGCCGCCCCCCGGCTCCCGGCAGCCCGGCCCCGCGCTCCGAGCGCACCCTATCCCCAACTCTTCGCTTTCTCCCTCGCTCATGGTCCCCGACCCAGAGAATCGAAAACAGTATGTTCCCCAACAGCCGCCTCCCTCTCCAACTTTGAACCCATTCTGGCGAGTAGAAAGTAGCGTTATCTTCCGCACGCGTCTTTGACTCGACTTCCCGGCGGCTCGGGGCGGGGGCCGGTGGTGGTGGGGGGCACAGGGAGAATAAAGTATCGTGTGTGTGTGTGTGTATATGTGTGTGTGTGTTGTGTGTGTGAGAGAGAGAGAGAGGGAGATAGAATGAGAGAAGGACTGTTGGGCTTTTATTTATTTTTTTTTTTTGGCCTCCTTTCGTCTTCTCTGCTTCACTGTAAGCTTTCGGGCAACACTCATCTGGGCTTAGATCGCAGCCTGCAGAGACTCCAAGCGGAGTCGGAGAAATTTGGCCTCGTTTTAATGGGGCTGGGGAATGAGCTCCGGAGGTCAATAAAGCCCTCCAAAAATGATGAATGATTGAGCACCTGTGATGATGATAGTGATTACCAGAGCAATTAAACAGTTTGATTAAATGAGCCATCATAACAATGATGTCTGCGGGAAATCGGCCCTCACATATAAAGAAAGATAGTGCGGAGGGGCTGGCAGAGGCGAGGGTAGCGCGACGCTAGGGAGCGGGGCTGCGGACTGCGAGGTATTCGCCCGGGTGGCCGGAGCAGGGACGGCTGGGCGCGCGGAGCTTCGGGGAGGAGAGTCTAGCCCAGATTTTCAGCCACTCTTATGTGGGGCTTCAAGCCTGCAAGATCCGACGGAGATGAAACCTGCAGGCTTGGGGGAGGGTCCTTCCCCCTGCACCTCCTCATTTTTTTCCTAGAAGAACTCCAAGATTAAAAGCATCCTTCTTATTTGTTGCTGAATTGCTCCTCGACGTATAAGAAAAGGTGAGTAAAAAAGAAAAGAAGACGCAAAAGAAAAGAAAAAGTTGGCTCCCAGAATTTTATTTCAAGCAGCAGTTGCGCGAATTCAGTTTAACCGGGGCGGGAAGGACGGGAGAGAAAAAAAACCAATCTAGCCTCGTAGCGGAGCGTTTTCGACTTTGCAGAGGTCTTAATATTGGTGAATCCAAGTTCCCTGAGCAGCGCGGCTAGCGAAGTTTACACTCAGTGTTTACTCTTCTAGTTGTTCTTATTTTCAATATTGCGTATTTATTGTCGTCAATAGGATTATTGTTGTTTTAAATTGTTCCGTATATTAAGCTCCAATTATTTTTCTTTTTAAAAAGAAACTCAATTTCCTTGATAAACGCTCCTTTTGTAAAGATCAACTTCGAACCAAACCTCTACATCGTAGAGTTTAAACATTCAATGTTTCTATGTTTGCTTCTTTTACCACCGCTTTTTTTTATAGTGATACTGCGAAGTGAGCTAGCATCCTTACAGCCTTTATTTAGAAAAATTGCACTAGAAATAAAAAAAAAAAATGTTTCTTCCATGGCAGTGCATCTGAGTAAAAACAATGCAGACCTACTGATGATTTCTATATTTTCAAACAGTTGTTAAGTTATAATGCGTTGATTATTCCGTGATAATCTTGGTTTTTACAAAAGAAAAAAAAAATTAAACTCTATTTTCATCCTTTGGGCGATGCAGAATGCATTTTATCCTGAACTCCTTTCTTGCTTGCATTCTCTGTCTAATATTCCGTAACTTCTTTTGCATTTTATTGAATACATTAAAACAAACAACAGGGACAATCTGGTTAGCTATAGGAGATAGAGAAAAATAGAACATTTTAAGATACTGTCAAAGAAAAAACCCAATCTTCTTTAACTCCAAAGAATTTAGTTAAGAAGTGTGAGAGTGTTAAAAGTGAAGCCTACTGGAGGAAAATCTGTGTCATTTAAAAACTCACCAATTGCCTAAAGGGAGAATCCCGAATTTCATGCGACTAAAGAGATTTCACTTACCTAGTTGTATGTCATTTATGAAACTGTTAGTTTAAAATAGCGTTGCAGAGCAGTGGATTACACATGAGATCAAGTTGGAGGTGATTCAGAGTGCCGGTTCTTGATCAATCTGAGGAATTCAAAGGACTATTACTTTTAATCACCAACTTGCTGATGTTTTATTAATTAATAGAGCTGAAAAACACTTAAGAACTTCCTGGTCTCCCCCCACCCCCAGTTTTGCAATCCGATAGAAGCGATTCCAAAGCAGTGGGGGTACGCACACTGTCTGATTTCTAGCCTGATAGTACGTTGTTGATGTTCCATTCTCAGCCTCCGAACCCCCACCCAGGCTGCGAGGCTCATCTGTTCTCCCACATTTGGGGTGAATGAAAAGTAGGTGGGGCAGGCCCGGGAGTCAGGCGCGAGATGGGGGTCGAATGAGGCGGCACACACCTCCGTCAACAGTCAACTCCTTTTGCCCAGGCTGGAAATGGTTTTAACAGGCGGTAAAATTTCATCTTGCGGTGTCAAATTGGGGTCATTTTGGGGTTAGAGTTCTCAGTGTCCGAGAGGAGCTGTCCAGCTGCGTGGGGACTCATTAACTGCAAAAGATCTGTTTCAGTAAAAACAATTCAAAGACAATCAGGAGGCTAAAGACCCTCTACAAATCGCATTTTACAAGTGCCCCAGAACAAATATGGATGCTGAAACCTATTTCTTCAGAATCCCAAATCGGCTACTTAGCTCTGGAGTGGGGGTGGGGGCACTGCATAAAAAAAGAGGTGAAAGGGAGGGGACCTGATCCGGTGGGGGTGAAAGGGGGGGGGAACGGGCCTCTCAAATTTAAGAGTCTGTTTTTAATCACCTCTTTCTTATTGAAGCATCCCCAAGACTTCTGAGAACTGCTTCTTTTCTATTTTTCCTTTTCTTTTTTGTCTCAATGTGGAATGCTATTATAGGTAACATTTAAGATTTAAAAAGAATAATTGAGTCCCTCTATAATTACTTAATTTAAAGGGCATTGGCTTTATGGAGAGTATTTAATTTGAAATGAGCATTTATGAACTCAGAGTCTATTTTAGGTGAATTTGCCCGCCTTCTTTAAGGAGCCTGTGTGTCTGTTTCTTCTAACCTTTTTTTTTTTTTTTTCCTAGAAAGTTATAGGTCCTCATCACAGATAATTCCAAATTCCTCAGAACGGTGAGGTCTGGAGTGTTAATCTGTGTATTAAAATCGCTGGGTTTAAATCCTTTTTTTCTTCTTACAACAGTTAGAACAATTGACACCTTGTTAGAAAGCAAATGAATCCAACCTTAATCTTATTTGTAACTTTAGTTAACGTTTTGAATTGGAGTATTTTGGATTGAGCAGATTTTTTTTCTATGTAAGGTTAATTTTTATTTGTGGAGGTTCTGCTTGGTGGTTGGGAAGAAAGATATTAATTATTATTACTTTGATTTAAAAAAATTCCTTCAGGTAAAAGAAAAGTGCAATTTTAAAATGAGAAGCTAAATGTGTGAGATGCCAGGGTTTTAGAATAAAACCAAATGAATACTTTAAAGTATTATTTGAAAGAAGTTTTCTTTCTTGCATTACTGACCTGAGCAAGTAAAAAAGATCAAAATGTTTTATTCTTTCTCTCTTTCTCTTTGGACTCCACCTCTGTCGCTGGTCTTCTCTCTCCATCCGCTTCACTGTATTTTGGGTTCTGAATGCAACAGTGAATTTTTATGGTCTAGCTCTTTTCTCCAAGCTTCCCAGAACATTTATAAATTGTTACTAAAAGCGTTTGCGGCCTTGCAGAAACAGCCCCGAGTCCAGCATCACTGGGACAAAGGCAGAGGGACCCTCTTCTGCTCCAGACCTGCTGGCTGACAGTTGGAATTTTTGATATATATTTTATTTGGCATTTCCAATAACGCGTTTGCCTCTGCCTCCCACCCCCTTGCAGCCATCTATTACTCTAAAAACATCTCTTCTCTGTAAACCTCAGCTCATCCTTGTGAGCTGTTCTTGAGCTTCCCAGCAGTGGAACTAGCAGCTCTGCAAGTTGGACTAGGAAGAGTTTCACTCGCTTTCATACCTGTTAACTTTGCTCACTCTCTTCCTAGTTGGGATCAAGAGAGGAAGAGGGCTTTTTTTGTGTGGTTGGTTTTTGCTTTTTGGTCCTTTCCCCACTTAAAAGCTTTCTACCATGTATTTTTCTCCCCCCCCCAATTAATATCAATAAAGCACCCCATAATTTATCTTTTTAAATAAGATGGGGTGGAATCATTGTACTTTCTTTCCTTTTCCTCTCTCTTATTTCTGTTTTCTCCCAATTTTAGCTGCTTCACCATCTCGTAGAGGGAAAGTATTTCAATAAATAGCCCTCTAGCGCTATCTGGCGGGTCTCCAAATGCGACGTGCGCTCGCTCTCACTGTCTCTGGCTCCTTCCCGCGCTCTCTTCCTTCCTCCCTTCCTTCCTCTCTTACTTCCTCTCTCCTTCTCTTTCTCTAGTCTCTTGCACTCTCTTGAGCCTATCCCCCATTTCTCTCTTCCTGCTGCCCCTTGTCAGCTCCCATCCTAACTTCCAGCGGAGACGGCTTGGAACGACCCGGTCATACGTTGATACCCACGGAAGTAGGTGATGCTCCGGCCACGGAGCTCCACTAGGCTTCTTACCTACACCCAACTTGGGTCACTCACATCTTTTTCCTTTTATTAGCATTTTAGTGTTGTTTCACATGTTGCGTAAGTCTCAGCATCTCACCTGGCGGTGATTTGGAGGGGCTTATAACTGCATTTGTGAAGTTTGGAGGAAAGAAATCAGAAACTGGAATCCCAGCTCGTGGAGCCCAGCTAAGTTTTAGGTCAGGAGGCCGAGTCTCAGTGCGAGTTTGAGGAAGGGTCGGGGCCTCACAGGGGTGGGAGTAGCATCGCACGGCGGCCGGCCTCCGGGAGAGCGCTGGAGTAGGGGCGCGAGCCAGCCCCCCACCATCCCCCGCCTCCCGCCCGCCGGATCCGTACATCACAATAGACTGCTCGAGTTTGTATCCTAGGCCTGTCCAGGATTTTTTTTTTTTTTTAATGAACTAGCTTTATCCTCCCTCCCCCACAACCACTACCACACCAAATTTGGAGAGGAGTGGGAAAGAAAAGTGGGAGTAGGAAAGCTCACTGGAAACCCCACAGGGCAAAGAGGAGAAAGCCAGCATCAGAGACTGCGGGACGCACGCTGGAGGATGCAGTAGGCACCCACATCCTCCCTCCTTTCTCGCAGAGATTTGTCTGCTTTCTTATTTGTGACTTTCCCCACCTCTTTGAAACAGTAGCCTGTAAACCCTCAGCGATGTGTGGGGAGCGGTCAGAGGGGATAGGGGCGGAAGGAGAGATTCAACTCCGACTTGGTGCTTTAGATAGTCTCTTAAAATTCTTATTCTCTCTCTCTCTCTTTCTCACACACACACACCCCACTCTGAGCCTTAGAGAAATCTCCAATCCTCCCGTTGAGCGAATCTCTTCCATCCAGTCCTTGAAACACAGGAAAGGATACGGGGCCTGGGGGAGGGCTAGACTCACTCAACTTTATGATTGCATTTTCTAAAATTTACTTTTGACCTTGCAAAGTACAAGTGAGGACCATATCCCCAATACAGACCCAGTCACTGGCTACTTGAAGTGAGAGGACCTCAGCCTGCGGTGCCGGTGGTCACCAGACAAAGACCTCTTCCTAATTCTGAAATCCTGCCCCCTCCTCATAATCTCAAAAGTAGACTAGAAAGGAGGGGGAAGGATGACACAATCATAGGTTCTATTCCTCAAGAATCCCCGCCCCCCCCTAATGCTGAAGGAAGAAAGCACAGTTCGGGTGTAATTAATTGAAGACTGTTATTAGGTCATCACTAGCCAAGGTGCAAATAATTGCAGTCCATTTTTACTTAAAATTGACCAGCCTCAGAGTGATAGATCGATTCGGAGTATAAAAATGATGTATCAAAACATCAATGTCGATTATTTGAAATATTGTAGTCGAATTTTTTTATTGCTTCATCGGTTAAGTGTCTGAAAGTGCAGTGTTCAAACATATATTTATGTTGTCAATACTGTCAGAACTGTCAGTTTTATTATACTGGATTTGTACTACATTTTGAATTTACTCATTTACATAAAATGCCCACCCTAGGATTCCCCCACCCCCACCCCATCTCTCTCTTTCCTCCCATCTCTGGAAAATCCGTGTCAGTTTCTTCAAAGGATTCAGCAATCTTTGCCCAAGCTGAAGTGTGCATTGCCTCTTTTACTCAATTTTCCACATCTGATTACATGTCTTTTTCACCATTTCTAACTTTCAAAGGGAGCCTTCCTCCTTTCTTCCCAACTCTGCCTACTCCAGCCTTTTCTCTGAAGTAGTATTGTAGCACTTGGAAAGCTTCAGGTTTAAACATCCACATCTCAGCTCCCAATAAACCATTTAGGTAGAAAAACGGAAAAACCGGACTTCACTGTACCTCCTTGGCTGCACTGGCATAAACCAGCCTGCGCCGGGCAGACGTTCTCACACGTGTGAGAGTCCATCATCAAATTACCTGGAAGATTGAAATCTTCCAAGGAAAATGAAATTTGAAATATAAATACTTTTCCTTTCTTTTTACTTAAAAGCTGTGATAGAAGAAGAAATAATACATATAAATGATCAGCACGGTTTACCTTTAAAAGCTTTTGAACTCAATCGAAAGACACAAGTTGGAAGCAGAACTGACAGTTTTAATTCCACCCATTTTCACCTGGCACGTCAGATCAGAGGCAATCATTTATTTTATGGGAGGTGGATGGGAAAGTCGGATAGAAAGCTTGAATCCACTGCAGTCTGTATCCTAAATATCACAGAGAAATTAAAGACACTCATTGAAACGCAAACATTCCATCGCTCCACATTTTCAGACTAATTGAAATTTATAAATTCACGTTCTGCCTAATTTTATGCTTTTTATTTTTTTTCTAGGATTCTCTCCAAGACTGATAGGAGAGACAGGGCCACTTCTGGACTAGCTGTAAAGATGTGTTTTCATTACCGTAACACTGAAGCATCTTTTATAAACTTTTTAAGATATTTAAATAAGTGTATTTGGACATTAAGAGAAGCTACACATACAAAGATAGCTTGGCTTTACGCCGTCAATCCCAGCATTAAAAGAAAGAAAAAGTCCAGAATTCATCTGAGAAGCTTTTCCATACCCAGCTTCGTCTAAAAAAAAAAAAAAAAGCAAAGCAAAAGAAAGTTTCCTGCATGCGTCTGTATGTCTTGGTGTGCAGATTTATAAACATCTCCCAGTCCGTGTTTGTGTATTACCTCCCTCCTGCCACACACTCGAAGGCAGAGGCATCGAGGGATCGCCCCCAGAGAGCTGTGTTTATTTAGGTTTTTTTTTTAATCTCTCCGCCGTGTATGACAAGTGTTACTTCAAGAAATTCATCAGCCTTCTACAGATACTTCCAGTTTTGCTGTAATGATCTGCAGAAGAGAACTGCCATCACTTTCTCACATCTCAAGGTGTTGCAGGAACTCAGAGAAAGGGGAGAGTGGCTGAAAGGCTTAATTACAGTGGGGGAGGGAGGGACCCGAGGCGCGGACCGAGATGGGGGAGTGAGCAAGGTCCTTTACCTGTCCTGTACCTGGAGAAACTCCGAATCCTCTCGGTGAATATTTGGGAAAGGTATGGTTGCCTTTTTGTTCTTTTTAATGCCTTTGGGGAGAAGTGACACCCTTATGTAACAATTAGCTCAGACAATAAAAATAATTGGAAAATCAGTTGGAATTTCTGAGTTTTTAATTATGTTTAATTTTGTGCTAAGCCGTAAAATTACGAATGCCCCTCAATTAAACACCCTCCTCTTGTAAAGCGTTTAACAACAATTATTCCTTAATCAGTCTGAATGTGAGTCACAAATGATGCTTTTCCACATCAAAGAGACGTCCTTCGACGTTACCTTTTAGTCATAAGAGGATTAATTCCTATAATTAGAGGGATAAATACGTGCATAAATACATCTCTCACTCTCTCCTTTAAAAAAAAACAAAACCCTTTCGCTGTGTGTGAGACGTGGCCGGCTCTGGTAGGGTAAGGGCTTTTAATTGTCCTCCTTTGCCTCAAGTTCCTTAGCTGGTGGGCGAATGCAACCGAGGAGACCCGGGCGCGAAGCACAGACCCCCAGAGGGACACACGCGCACACACATAGACAGAAACGCACACACGGGTCAGGCAGGAGGTACAAAGCTCGGGGTCCCAAGACCCTCGCCAATTCCAGTGTGATCCTCCCAAGACAACAACCCATTCTCCACCCTTGCCCCTGCCCCGCACGGCGAGAGTTCTCTTCCTGTCGGCCCACTTGTCCCGAGGAGCGGGGTCCCTGCCCTAAGCTGAATCTCCAGGTTGACTCGCCAGGCTACAAATAAAAATTGAGCATGACCTTTTAAAACTCCTGTGTGAATATCTCATTTACCTAATGACTTTGTGTCACCTAGGAAGAAGGTCAATTTCCTCTTAACCTTTCCCCCGCTGCTGCAGTAAGCATTCTTCCCTAATCAATGGTGGCTGGAATAATCAATTCCCATTTTATGATCGCTGACAAACTCAGTCTCTGGGCGGGGTGTGAGCGCGGCGGGGCTCGCTCGGGCCGGGACAGAGGTCTCTCTGGGTACGCCCAGCTCCACCCGGCGCCAGGGGAAGCTGCTCTCTCTTCCCGTCGAGTTCAGAGACCTTGGCAAACTTCCCTCCCCCAACCGCCGGCCTGACTTCTGAGTTGTCACTAATCCGAACCTGATATTCACCAGAGCTCCTTCGGTCACCAACAACGCTCCCCGCTGCTGCTGGGCCTCCCACCCGCCCCTCCTCGGCGTGTTTTCATTTCAAAGTCTGCAGGCAGGGATTGCCCCGACCCAAGGAGTGTGTGTCTGTGCGCGCGCGCGCGCGCGTGTGTTTTAGTTTCATTTACATTTTAAAAATTATTTTTGCCTTCTTCAGCGTGGAGCTCTCAGCTCTTTCACTCTCTCAGCCCTGCTAACTTTGCATAAACAAAGCAACAACAGAAGCTCAGAGTGGGTGGATTCGTGTGGAAATGAAGTCAACTGGCAGAGTTCTCCTTTCTCCCTTCCTATCTCCTTTCCTTTCTCCCCTCCCTCTCTCATTTTTTCCTTCCTCTTCTCTTACCTTCCTCCTCCTTCCCACCCTCCACAATAACCAGTTATCTTAAAAGGTAGGTTTATTAGATGCCGATCTACCCCTATTTTTGGTTCTCCAGTCTGGGGAAATTACCAGGAAAATTACTAAGTCAAAGCTAATTTGAATGTGAATTTAGGATAAGTTCACAGTGCTTTATCTTTAGAGGGCCTAAATATCAGCCCCTTCCCCTCCCAGTCTCTCATAAAGTGGAAGTTGACTTTTACAGACACAAGGGCTTGTTTGCAGAGAGGGATCTCTTAGCACTTTTTCACCATCGGCCACTGGATTTTCTATCCTCTCATTCTGCCCCAACCCCATTTCACTCACTACCAAGACATGAAGAAGCTGCTGTTGATTATCAAGCAATTAAAAAACCCACTTAGCTAGGGTTCAATGGCAGGAAAAGCACTTTTCTTGGAAAAGATGTCTTATACCCAGCTTTTTTTGAAATTTCTTATTATTAACCAGCTAGTTAAAACGGAGCCCAGAACTGAACTTTTTCCCCTGAGAGTGTTCTCTCAGGCCATGTTGATGGTCTTTGAAAAGATAATTAAGATGCCCCTTTTCTTAACTCATAGCACCTCATTGCTTGTGGGCAGACATTCTGCTAAAATTGGGAAGTTTGTCAAACAATCGAAACAAAAATGTAACTATTCTACTTTAAAAGGTAGAATAAAAGACAAACCACCTACTCTGGTGTGGAAAACAAACAAAAAAGACATTTGAGTTTAAGGTGAGGCAATCTGGGCCAACACACTCACTGTTTATCCACAACAGTTTCCTCAAGTCCCGTTAGTAACAGAGATGGCCAACCAAGCCACCGCTCCAGCCTGCCTGAAGCTCGAGGTCCCATTCTTGCCTTGGGCCTGAAGGTGCTGGAGTGGTGACCTCTGAGAGGCAGTGAGAGCAGGCCAGGGGCAGGACTCGACGTGGGATGGGGCCAGGCCAACTTCCCCGAATTGTCACTTCCCTTCTTGCTCCGTACCAGGAAGTGCGTTCGCAACTCCAGTTGACTTAGATTCTGGATTTAGACGGGCTCAGAGGGCTGTCCAGCCCTGAGTCACAGTTTATAACAGCCTGGCTTTTGAAGATTTGTTTCATATTCCAAACAACTGAAGTACAGACTTTCTGGGACCACAACCAGTTGGGAGGTCAGGAAGCCCTTGTACGGGAAGAGTTCCCCATTACTAAGAGTCCTGAGTGGGGCTTTTATCTCTCTTTGACAGAGGAGCAGACAGATTGGGGATGGGCCCCTTGACCTCAGATAATTACTATAGTCTTCCCACTTAAGCAAATTTAATTCTCACATGAGGAGTAATTAACAGCCTCTGACTATTCACTCTTTGAGAATTTCCTTTCCTTTTCTTATCTTAAGGGCCCTCACAGGGATGTTGAAGAATATGCTTAATACTAGTTTTTAGTTTCATTTCCTTTAAACATCTTGCATCCTGCTCACTTCTTCCACAGTCTACTGGAACACATTTGGCATAGTCAGGCTGTGTTCTAACTCCAGCACGTGATATAGGAAAATCCAATCATTGGTGTACTCCTTTCTCTACTCCCCACACAATACACTAGATTACTCTTTGGAAAAGGAAAACCCTTTAATTGTGCTTAATTTAGAAAGCATGTCAGAAGAAAGAGTTTTTTTAGTAATAAAAAATGCTATTCTCTCCCTTTGACCAACAACTTTGTCCCTGCTAGTGTTTCTCTCATGGTTATAAATCAAAATTACATGTTCAGGATGTAAACCATAAGTATAGGAACAGGAAGAAAGACCAATAGCTTTTCAAAGGTGACTGAGGTCTCTGCAAGACTCATGTCCTAAATGGAAAGACATCTCTTTCAAGCATTTCTAAGGGAGAGAGTTAAACTACATGACTTCTGAGGCTGTTTCTAACCCCGGAAGGACAGAAAGGGCTCTGAGGCTGTGGAGCAGTCAGGAACCCAGGCTCTGGAGTCTGACAGGAAGGGGCTGAATCCTAGTTCTGTCCTGTGCTAACTGTGTGATCTTAAGTAAGTCACTTGCCCTCTTTGAACCTCAGTAATTTCATGTATAAAATCAGGATAACTGTACTTAATATTACTAGATATCTTGTGGCCCCTCCAGATCCACTCCTCACTTTCTCCATCCTGCTCTGTGGTCCTGGAGGCTGATTTCAGAGTGCTACATTAGCCCTTGCTTCCTGTTGGGTTTGCCCAGAAAGGGTAGAGTGAAGAATATTGATTCCCAGCGTCCCCGTGGGTGGGCTGCATCTCAAGCAACCCTCTTCACAGTGCTTTCGCTCTGGGTTCAGGTAACCATTTCCTTCTCCATTACTTGCCTTGGGACACAGCACTGTCCCTTGTGGATTCCTAACACCCTGCTCACACCTTTTTAATATAGTTCCTTTATGAAGCGCTCCTCAAATTACCCAATTTGACATGCACCATCTGTTTCTGGCTGGACTCTGACTAATACATCTTGCAAACTTATTTCGAGGATTAAAATTAAATGAGATAATGTAGGTAAAACACAAAGCACCGTTCCTTGCATATAGTAAAAGTTTAATAAATAGAACTTTTAGTTATTTTTTTTTTACAATTGTCATCTGCTGCAACCTGCTCATTTTATACATGAGGAACCAGAGGCCCAAAGCAGTTAAGGTATGAATTCGAAGTCTAATTAACTCAAGACAGTAACAACCCTGGGAACAAGTCCCTGGACTAGCAGCTCTCAGTTTATTGCTCTTTCCACAGCAGCTCGTTGAGCAAAACAGATGGGGGAGGAGGGAGATCCTTTTGTCATAGGATCATGAACACAGGATCATAGATGTTGGAAAAAGGGTTAGATGAGCTAAAGGCAGAGGTGCAGGAGATAACAAGCAACTTTCCGTGTAGCGCTGGATTTGTCTCTGCTAAATTATTGCTAAAATAAAGCATCCTGTTGTGGTTTGGAATCCAGTGACTTCACTAAGAATAGAATAGGTATGTTACA